ACTAACCCAAAGAAAGAGAAGAACTCTTGCAAAAAATCGAGTAAATGAATGAATGAACGAATCAGTTGATAGGATTAAGCTTAAATAAACTTTCGCCTGCCATTCGTTCGTTCCCGACGCGTTAGAAGTAAAAGTGAATACAAATGTTCGATCACAGAAGCTCTTTGGGCATTATGCAAATTTGACGAGTGGATAAAGATCGTTTTGTTCTAAAATAAAGAAGCTAATAGTGCAAATATTTGTGTAACTGACCTTTCATGACCCCATGAGGCAGCCATAGTTTCCTGTAGCAACCGATTTGTTTGCCCTCCAACATGGCGGAGGAGATCAGGTGACTTCTTAGTGCAAGCAGCCTATTGAAACTTGTACATTTCCCTCACAATGGAAAATATCAAAGGTTAAACCTCTATTCAACAAGGAAACAAGCAAGATATTCAAAACTATCGTCGTATTAGTATTTTGCCTATTCTTTCTAAAGTCTTTGAAAGACATCTTCAATGCTGTGAACACCTACTTAACAAAAAATTCACTTTTATACCGCTTCCAATCAGGGTTCCATAAAAACCACTCCACAGATACTGCTTTGTTGTTTCTTCTGGACCAAGTCCTTCTTGACCTTGATAATAACAACGTCAGCGGCTTAGTTTTAGTGGACTATAGCAAGGCATTCGACTTGACCAATCATGACATTCTCCTGGTAAAGTTAAGATCATATGGATTTCCAGATAATGTTGTAAAGCTATTGCAGAGCTATCTACTCAATCGCAAACAGTGTGTTACTGTAAATAACTCGACTTCGTCACAACTTATGCTAACCAATGGAGTTCCTCAAGGTAGCATGTTAGGACCTCTACTGTTTTTAATTTTCGTCAATGATCTTCCCGAAGCTGTTGGATCGGACTCAACTATTCATGCTTACGCGGATGACACCACATTTAAAGCCAGTGCTAATATCGATAATGCACCTTTGGAATTGGAACGATGTCTTCAAGAATGCATGGATAAATTAAGTAAATGGTCTAGCGAAAATGGGATGGTCCTAAACGCTGCTAAAACCAAAGCATTACTTATCACCGGAAAGAGGCTACATTCATCATTAGCTGATGGCAATCACCTGTCAGTGACCCTTGATGGGGCCGAAATAGAACAAGTAACTTCTTATAAATTGCTTGGTGTAACACTCAATCAAGATCTTACATTTAGTGACCACATTTCTAGCCTAAAGGCCAAGCTTTCTCAGCATATTGGTTTATTGAAAAAGATAAAGAGATACCTTCCAATAAAGGAAAGACTCTTATACTATAATGCCTTGATTAAACCCGTCCTTATGTACAGGAGCATGGTTTGGAATATCTGCGACACTAAAGAACTCCACTGTCTCCTAAGGTTACAGAAAAGGGCTGCCCGAGTAATTCTTGGGGTGGACTCTTATTCTAGAAGTGTTGTAAACTTTAGTAAACTAGGCTGGTTGCCTTTTTTTGATGAAATCAAACTAAATAAGTGTACAATGATTTTTAAGAGCCTTAAAGGCGATGTTCCGATTTACATCAGAGACTTGCTCAAGACGAACAGTTCTGTACACAATAGGTCTACTAGACATGGCAATTTAAATTTAGTGTGTCCCAAATACCTAAGAAATAACGATGGTGGCAAGGCATTCAGTGTTGACGCAGTTAAGTTATGGAACAGCCTTCCCCATGATATCAAAAATAAGCCTAGTATAAAACTATTCAAAACAGCTGGGAAAAATCATTTTATAAGCTCGTATAAAAACCTGGACAACTTTGAAACAATATTAAGCAATAGCACATTATCTAATTTTAACTTTTTATAAATTAATTTTATCTTTCTGAATATTTTTAATCTATCCTGCTATTTCTGTTATAGAATTTTGTAATTATTTATATATTTATTTATTTATCAGTTTTTTGTAATGCTGTATAATCTAGTTAGAGGGCCACAGGTTTGTCAGCTATACAGCTGTTACATGTCCCCCTCTATAAGTAAAGTCCTTACTAGGGTGCCCAGTGTTGTGGTCAATCTTTGTGAAGTGTCTATCAAATTGATGGGGGGTACTGCACCTTTGAATATTGTATAGAAAGGGCGCAATATAAATAAGGAATTCATTCATTCGAATACTATTGGGAGTAATACTTCACTTTTACACAAATGTAGATCTCTTAGGGCTTTAAAATATTGATATTTCTGCAATTTTTTATAGCTGGGGAATGAACTTAACCACAGCACCTAAAGTTATATGACTATATAGACTTGAGGTTAGCTTGCAGTAGTGAGGGAATTATTTGCGGGTGAGCTGTGGAAGGAATAGGAAGGAGGAGATTGAGAGGTCACCTGAAGGACTATCCAAGGGTTGTAGAGTTTTATCCACCTACATGGAAAGTTCTTATCAGTTGGGAATGCATACCTGTCTTGATTACCTCCTAAGGGAGTTACAGAGGAGGTAGTTGATTAAAAGTTAACTTAGTGGGAACTGTCGCCACATGAAGGGAATCTTTAAATAAATTATGTATACATTGTGCAAGTTGAGATCGTGTATCTCAGAAATCAGTTCTCTTTTGTTACCTTTTGTGTGCGTGCATTAACAAATTTTTTCACTCACCAAATGTAGTTGGAAAATAGCAATGCACTATGGACATGTTGCGACTGGGATGTGTTGTCTTCAAGCTTTTATCAGTATAGGTTAAACCGGGTTGTACTAATGGTACTAGTTTTTGAATATTTTTTTAAAACTAAACTAGTGAGTAGCACTCTGTGAGCAGTTAATTGATGTAAAACTTGTTTTATTCTCTAACCCATTCAGTGTAATCGACTACTTCAGGGAGTTTTACAAGTCAGTAGCCACAAAACGCTAGTATTTATAAGCCATAATTAGCACCCATTATGTAAAAACTTATGAAAATCAAGTTAAAGAGAGAAAAATATTATAGGGCCACAGTTTTAGCTAAAATGTGGAGAGTTTTACAACCATTGTTCCCAACATGCTGCTCACTAGTTAATTTTCAAATACTTTTTTTGAAACTTTTTTATACTCCTGTAGTCTTTCAATCCAAGACCAATAATAAAGAAGCCATTTCAGACTAAGGGTGTGAAGAGAAAGAGAGAACAGACAAAGGATAGAGGTTCAAAAGTTGATGAGGAATTCAATTTTGTGGATAAAGATATCAGATATCGACTTAGGTCATCACGAAGAATAAAAGGACAGGTAGAGTGGTGTTAATGATTTACCATTTTGTTAGGGGTTGTAATGAGATATTACATAATTAAATCTCTTAGGGTTGTGAAACTCTTGACATGTGTCCAAGCGTCACTTAAAATTGACACGATAGTTGATTTTTGTTTTAAAACTAATATAATTAGAATATTAAGATCATTAACTTGAGAGCTTATTTCACTGCTTTTAAGACTTTGATGTCCATCTTTATTTAACTTTTGTTAGTATTTTGGAACATTTTTACTGTTCATGCATAGTTTCAAAAGATCTATCTTCAGTTGATCGTAGACAAACAAAGGTCGGTTAGTTAAGGGGATGCCATTTTGTTTATTTTCATCATTTGGGGATCTCAAATGCAAGATGACCCCATATCACAGCTGTATAGAGCCTGCGTAGGAGTTCATAGGTTAAATATGGTTTTTGATCTGCTATAAACTTCAACTTACAAGTAACAAGTATTACTGAGATCCTTGCAAGGCCAAAAGCTATGTATCTGTGTTATCTTTTTGATCAGGAACCCAATTATCAAGATGTAGAGAATTATAGTATTGGCAACTGTGATGATGATGCCCAGGAATACAGGAAGCCTGTAAGAGTGCCAAAAAATAGAGAAAATGTATTTGGAGAGATCCCAGGTAACCTGAAAATATTTTACAGATTTATTTAGGAATTAACAAACAAAGGAAATATTGTAATATTGTACATCTAGGAAACAGCCATTGATAACAACATGACACATTGTAGACTTGAATAGTAGTTACTGTAGTTATTAATATAAATTTTTCATATTTTTTTCCTGTTGTTTTAAGTACTCTCTCCTTAGTTTACCTACTGGTATTTAACACTTGAGTTTTAACAAAGAGACTTATTTCAGGCTGATAATTGCCTGTAACTGACTTTTAAAGGTTTGTCCATCTTGTGTTTGTAAGGTTGTCCTGTAGGAACTTCCTGGGATACAAGGCTAGCTTGCTGTATTGATGGTGTACATAGGTAAGGCAATCATTATCATTCTTTTATCACTGATTGTCACAGTTATAACTTGTACCAGTGGTCAATAAATTTTAGCCAGATGACTCCTAAATTTGTCCCTTTTGAACAGTTGAAATAAATATTTCTGCAAATGACACAGTCAGATACAGATACCAAGAAATTATGGGATAAGGTTGAGCACGGTATCATGAATTTTCAAACCTGAGGTCTAAGTAATCTGCCAAATCCGAAGGCTGAGACAGATAACAGAGACACGAGTTCGATAATTCATGATTTCATGCAAAAACTAAATCCTATAATTGTTTTATTGTTCATCTTTTAAGCTTTCTGCAATCTATCTGAGTTTGCAAAAGTTTTGAGGGCACTTAACACAGAACAAGAGGCTTGGACACTAGGCAGACTTTGACCTTGACAAGATAAATGGAATACCCACTATATCAACTTCAAAGGCTATTGTTTATTGATTGAATGCTTGGAACCAATCAAATTTTTCATAGTAAGTGTAATGTTCGATTTTTTCAGACTAGAATTCCTCATTGCTCAGTGTAGTCATGGCTTCCTTTCACGACTTTTCGTGCGATTGCGGTCGTTGTGAATCGTGTGAGTTTGCAAAAGTTTTGAGGGCACTTAACACAGAACAAGAGGCTTGGACACTAGGCAGACTTTGAATTTGACAATATAAGTGGAATATCCACTATATCAACTTCAAAGGCTATTGTTTATTGATTGAATGCTTGGAACCAATAAAATTTTTCATAGTAAGTGTAATGTTCGATTTTTTCAGACTGGACCAGACTAGACTACATGTTCATGTACTGGATCTTCTTTTCTCAGTGTATCAAATTTAGCCACAGTTTTTCTTTTTGCTACTCTTCTATCTTCTTGAATTTGACACTGACAGCTATTAGGATATTGTCAGTGTAGAATAGACTTGACTAAAATAGGTAACGTGTTCATGTATCTCCCTGACCTACAAGGTTCCAATGCCTTGTGCCAGATAGTTGCTGACTTTCATAAGAAAGTTGCAGGTTACATTCAGTGATTTATCAACTTGATGCAGGCCAACAGTTGCTGGTATTCATGGCAGTGACGAAGGATGTTACTCACTTGCTCTGTCTGGGGGATATGAAGATGACCTTGATTATGGAGTTTGTTTTACATACACTGGAGAAGGTGATGTCACTCTACTGATCTGTGTTCCAGGATATCAACTTGCTTCCTTTGGGTCCTTGTTAGGCCCAGTACAACCTGATTACAGTCAAAGTTTTCTTAAGTTGCTGATGTTATGTAAATTTTGACAGACTGCGATCTGAAGCTTGACTTGTCAAAACCATTTTCAGTAAAACATGAAACATTATGACTGAGGTTCATGTAAGATCTGAGCTGGGTGACACTATTGACTTACAATAGCCGTGATCATACTTCATACTCATGAAGGCTGCTGAAAATAAATATTGACCAGAATTCATTGTGTTATATCCTTGACTGAAAGGTGAGACTCAAAATTTTTCTTTGTTGCATGAAGGTGGAAGAGATTTAAAAGGCACAAAAGCTAATCCAAAGGTATTGCATAAATTTGTGTGAAACTTGTTTTAATTTATTGATTATTCTCTAGGGGATGGCAGAACCACATTTTTGTGCTTAGCTCTGAACCTCACCCCACCCCTCCACCCCATCTCTCAAATGGGAAGCATAGGAAGCCTTAAACAAAAAGGCTATCATTGTGATTTTCACTATTTTCTGATATATTTTGTAGAACTTACGTACTGCACCTCAATCCAAAGATCAGTCTCTCACAAGAGGTAAATGAAAGACTCATTACATATTTACCTGTCTATAATAAGGTATCCTCAGTATAGCACCAGCATCATATCTGGATTAATACATTTTGCTAAATTATCTGAAATAATGTTTATAATCTCTATTTGATCTTCCATAACCTTTTTGATCTTGTTTCTCCACTATAATCTTCATTAATATGACAGGGAATTTAGCATTAAGTAGGAGTGTTGAAAGTGGGAAACCTGTACGAGTTATCAGAGGATACAAGCTAAGCAGCCTCTATGCTCCAGAAGAAGGATACAGATATGATGGTAGGAAGCTCCTGCATTGATCCTGACCAAGTGATAGAAAGATAGTCTAGTTGAGAAGAGTTACAGATCTGCAATTTTTATTGTCCACATTGCCTTTTTTCCAGCCTTGCTTCCAATAGCACCTGAAAATTTTAAGGCAGGAAAGGACACTAGAAAGCCTCAAGTTTTTACCAAATTGATGTAAGGAGGTTTCTGATGAGCCAAAATTGGCGCACTAACATTATTATATGCTGGACTTTCACTGGACCTCATCGATTAAGATAAAATCAATGGAGAGTTTTTAAAAACTTCAAACTACCAAATGTTTTGTACTCAGTTGTCTTTGGAGCCTTCAAGTAGTATGTCTTTTATGTCCACTCACAGGGTATGACCTTGGTAGACTTGGCTTACTGTCTCAATCAATTTATTTATGATATTACTTGTGTTTGATCATCAATTGTAGGACTTTATCAAGTGGTGAAATATTGGCAAGCCTGTGGATTAAGTGGCTACATGGTTTATAAATTTGCTCTTAAAAGATGTGAAGGACAAGCTCCACCTCCTTGGGAACAAACCAATGAAGACTTGGGATCAGAGATTGGTGACTCTATAAATGGCTCTACTGACTGAAATTTTGATCTAGTGAGGAATTTTTTGTTACTTATTGCAGATGTTCAAAATTTACCCTTTATACATGTTTTTAATTTTAATTCCATATATTCTGCCCAGATAAGTTTTACATTTAACCTGTTTATGGCAAGAATTCTCAGTTGTAAGTGAGGTGTTGGACCAGCTCAGTTTATTTTATTGCAATAAAGGTTTGAATAATAATTTTGAATTTTGAATTCTTCAAGAATGTTCAAGTATTGTTGGTAATAACATCACTACATTGTTGTTGGGTGGTAATATTTGGCAAAATGGCAAGTGTAAAGTTTAGTTGGTTTAGACTACAAACAGTCTCCTTTGCAAAATCTGCAGTGCAATTAAAAATAAATCGATGTAGAAAAAATTGATGTTAGTGTGCTACAGGAAGTTCTAATTTTGACTGATGGGCAGTGAGAGCTCCATGAGCATAGTAAATATGTAAAGATTTCCAACAGTAGCAGTGTACCTTATACTATGAAACATCCTGAAGGCCCTGTTACACTGGAAGTAAAACAGGACAAGCACTTTAAATCTGTATTCTCTGAAAAAGGTTTTCTGCACTTTTCTTGAATTTGGTAGATATTTTTTATCACCAGTGACCTAGCAGATTTGGAGCCCCCCTCGATTTAGACCTCCTGGTCCAGATCTGCTAGGGAATATAGACCCCCCCCCACCCGTCCAAATCCGTTAGCAGATGTGGATCCCCCGTGATTTGAACCCCCAATAAAAAGTGAAAACATCATCCTTAACGTTTTGGTAGGGGGGTCCAAATCCACTCAGGGGTCCAACCAGGGGGGCAACCTTGTTCCCAGAGCCTTTTCCTACCCCAAACCCAACCAAGGGAAAAGGCCCTGGAACGAGGTTGACCAGAGGGTCCACATCCTCTAGCAGATTCGGATGGAGGGTCCATAATCCGTCAGCACATTTGAACAAAGGTCGTTCAAACCTAACAAGGTCCAAATCCTCTAGGACATCGGCAGTCTGGCGAAATATTTTTGTGGTACGTTAAGTTTGGAAAGTTTGTTTACTAAATACCAAAATAATTTTAGGATCGATATAATATCCCGACGTTTCGGCGACTTCATGACGCCATTATCAAGGGCACAAATAAAAATAATATTAACAAATGCGGGTTCAAGAGTTACAACTAATTTACATAGGGGAGGTAGCTACACCTATACTTTAGCACGTTCAAACTCGGTCTTAATTGTTTGATGTAAAACATCTCGTTGACATGACAATCGAATTTGTTCATGCACTTATTGAGAACTTTGAAACAGCTAAGAAGGTCCTCAGGGACAGCACCTGCGTGGTCGTTGTCGTAGTGAATGCGTACTGAAGATGACGTGCTCTTATGGCTATCCACGCAGGCATCTATTTCATTGTATCTGATTTATCACTTTCACGGGTTTATTACGAATCAACTTAACGGCCTGCTCCCAGTTGGCTTGTTAGCTCAATTGGTAGAGCGCTGCACTAGTATCGCAGAGGTCAGTGGTTCGAATCCCGTACAGGCCTGATTTTTTTCAGGTCTGATTTTCGCTATTGCTTAAATAGCGCTATCTACTGCGAGGATCGTGCATCATACGTATCTAATACCGCAGTTCAAAATATATGAACTTCATATATTTCATTGTATCTGATTTATCACTTTCACGGGTTTATTACGAATCAACTTAACGGCCTGCTCCCAGTTGGCTTGTTAGCTCAATTGGTAGAGCGCTGCACTAGTATCGCAGAGGTCAGTGGTTCGAATCCCGTACAGGCCTGATTTTTTTCAGGTCTGATTTTCGCTATTGCTTAAATAGCGCTATCTACTGCGAGGATCGTGCATCATACGTATCTAATACCGCAGTTCAAAATATATGAACTTCATATATTTCATTGTATCTGATTTATCACTTTCACGGGTTTATTACGAATCAACTTAACGGCCTGCTCCCAGTTGGCTTGTTAGCTCAATTGGTAGAGCGCTGCACTAGTATCGCAGAGGTCAGTGGTTCGAATCCCGTACAGGCCTGATTTTTTTCAGGTCTGATTTTCGCTATTGCTTAAATAGCGCTATCTACTGCGAGGATCGTGCATCATACGTATCTAATACCGCAGTTCAAAATATATGAACTTCATATATTTCATTGTATCTGATTTATCACTTTCACGGGTTTATTACGAATCAACTTAACGGCCTGCTCCCAGTTGGCTTGTTAGCTCAATTGGTAGAGCGCTGCACTAGTATCGCAGAGGTCAGTGGTTCGAATCCCCTACAGGCCTGATTTTTTTCAGGTCTGATTTTCCTTATTGCTTAAATAGCGCTATCTACTGCGAGGATCGTGCATCATACGTATCTAATACCGCAGTTCAAAATATATGAACTTCATATATTTCATTGTATCTGATTTATCACTTTCACGGGTTTATTACGAATCAACTTAACGGCCTGCTCCCAGTTGGCTTGTTAGCTCAATTGGTAGAGCGCTGCACTAGTATCGCAGAGGTCAGTGGTTCGAATCCCCTACAGGCCTGATTTTTTTCAGGTCTGATTTTCCTTATTGCTTAAATAGCGCTATCTACTGCGAGGATCGTGCATCATACGTATTTTTCAGTTTTGTTTCCCTTTATATTTACTGCACTTAAAACTGTTCTTAAGTAGGCGACTCTTACTGTTAGGCCGCAGTGGTCTTCAAGACACAGAAACGAGAGACTTAGCACTGTGATCAAATAAACATGAACGACGAGAATGACCAAGTGACTTTGTTTTTCCCGCCATTTTTTCTCGTTTGCCGGTTGCGCTTTGCCGTTTCTACTTGAAAGTAACCTGTTTCACGTTTGCCGTGTATTTTTTCCACTTTTTCTCTCACAGAGTACAAGTTAATTTTCGGAAAAAGGGCGCCAAAACTATTCCTTGTAAGTCATTCAGGGGCGTCTTCAAATCCATGACTTGAGCTCACGCGAAGCTAAAGTAGCAAGGTTGACGCTCTTTTACGTGAAAGAGGAAGCTGACATTTTAGCCGTTTTACGTGAACGTGGTGCTAAATCTCTCTATTATACGAAATCAACGTTACCTCCGAAGCTTTATATACCGTTTTAGTATGGTACGTTTACGCTAGCTTGACCTCTGGAAGAGCCAACGCAATTCTTAGAATTGCTTAGCATTTTAAACCAACATTTAGTATACTCAGTAGGTTTGTATGGAGTTTTCAGTGGCCTTTTGGGGTGAAAATCTTTAGAATGCACCAGCTCGGATAATTTTTCCACTTAAAAAACAATGATTTTTTGAATCGCTTGACATTTCTGCATTAATGACATACGTGAAAAAATTACTCAGTTCTGATGGGTTAAGATAAATGCAGTTTTCAGTGCAGAAGAGGGTTAATTCAGTGCAAGAAAGCAACAAACCAGACATTCTTATTGGTCAATAATCAAAGAAACTCGCAGAATTACCAAACTGACTGAACAATTCCTTGAACTGTTCGGCCGGACTTTGAACTTTTTTGCGCCTTAAAGATGTGAAAATTTCATTTTATCTTATTGTTTTGATCGTATGTGGTTGTTTCACCGTTAGTAGAGGGGACTGGTGGTTTGACCGAACTCACAATGTCACTTGCATGTTTGAATAAATTACTTTTGCACGTGATGCGCGCGCTTTTCTTCTGCATAATTATGGTAAGCTACTTCGTATTTTTTCATGTATATTATTAATACATAATCACATGATTTTTCTTGTGCAATTTGGTATAAATAAGCAATTGTAAATTTTTTAAAAGACCACAAATTGCACTCGCCCTACGGGCTCATGCGATTTTGTTAGTCTTTGAAGAAATTCACTCGTGCTTATTTATTCCAAATTACACTGGAAATCGCGTGATTACCTATACAAACATCTGATACTCGTAAGAAGTTTGTAAGAACCTTTCAGTGTTTTTAGTCAAAATTTCTGACTGCCAGGCATTCTGTATATTCGAGACTGTGCCCGGCAGACTGATTAGGAGCATAAAAATTTAGTAAGTCCTGTTTCTCACCATCAATGTCGCTTTGGGAATTAATTATGTGGATAAAAAATGTTACACTATCCACTGTTCGTATAGTTAAACGTGGAAAGCTCAAAAGAAAATGCAAATAATTAGAATTATTAAAAACTAGATAATTGGATAATGCAATTCAAGACTTTTTATTGGCTTAGCCATTATGGTATATCAGCCAATATACCATAATCTACAAATATGGTAAGCGTACGTGTCAGCTTAAAATTAAAAGAGAGCTAAAAATTTAATAAAATTTGATAATTTGATTTAACGTTTTTAATAAAACAATTATACAACTCGCACTTGTTGGATATGAGATGATTTTAGCCAACTCGGCGCTACGCGTCTCGTTGGCTATCTATCATCTCATATCAAACGCGCGCTCATGGAATAATTGGTCATTAGAACATAGCTAGCAGAGTCGCGCAATCAAATTCATTATACGTGAGCGTGCTCAAAATCCCGTTAGTGCACGCTTATAGCGTCAGCAAATCCGACTTCGCCAGAAATTTTTCTTTTCGCGCGAGCGGCCATTGTTAGCGCGGGGGAAAATAATATATTTCGCGACAATAATGGATACAAACAGAAACTCGGCCTACTAGTCCGAAAACGAAGACAATGTTTCGACCTTTTCCCTTGGGTTAGAGTTCTTAAATGAGGCAGAAAAAGAGAAAAACAAAGGAAAAGCAGACTCGGCATCAGCGCCGTCACGATTCGCTTCAACTGATATTGTTGTCCGTTTTTCGCGTCGGATTTGATTCACAATTCCACCGGCTATGTTCTAAAACAATTGGTTCATGCTTTCAGCAGTGTACTATCGAGTTATGGAGCACGTGGGAAGTTTGGAGAGCACTCAAGAAGCTAGAGTTGCCCTCGGCTATTGCCTCGGGCAACTCTTACGCTTCTTTCGTGCTCTCCAAACTTCCCGCGTGCTCCATAACTCGATAGTGCACGCTAAAGCATGAACCAATTGTTAATTAGTAAATTCAGGAGATTCCAGACTAATAAATGATAGGAAAAACACCCTGACAATTTTTTGGAGAGGAATTTATAGCATGACCTGGTCAAATCCCACCTGCTGGGTCACCAACGGATTGAGTAAACCTGTAGGGTCTTAAGCGGTCAGCGGTTATCTGACGCCTTTAATGGGTATGGTTGTGTAATGAGCATT